TTGAGTACCGAATCCTGGAACCCTGCATGAAGCTGCTTGGCACAGAAAGAGTTCATGCAACCTGAGGAGACCACCCACACGGCAGAACGGCCCTGTCCTAGGGAACCACGGCATAAGTAGGAGGAGGATGGTGTCTACAAAGATGGGAAGGGAAGGCCTGGGTCCTGAGACAAGGTCAGAAAGGGAGTCCCAAGAGGGCTAGCTAGAGACCCAGTAGGTGTAAAGTTTGTCTGCTTAGGAGAGTGGCCCAGCGGGGAGTCTTAGAGCTCTAGAAGGCTAAGGAACATGTACCCCTGAGAGACGTAGCCTGGCACAGGGTACTCTGTGTCACCCTCAAGGAAGGGCAGCCTGCCCTGGAGTTCTCCAAACCTAATCAGCTTGGGGGAGTAGGTGTCTCCACAGAGGAGCATTACAACATGAGCCTCAGAGTCTTTGTAGGAACAAAGAGAGGCCCTGGGGAAGTGCAGCAGGGTAAGAGGGGTATCCTGGCATGGACGCTTAAGCTAAAAGGCATGAAGAGAGTGCTCATGCTCAGAGAGTGCCAGCCAGCACGGACGACAGAACCTATCTGTGGAGGAAAGCATGAGTGTGGAAGAGAGACGATGGGTTACATACAGGACTGCACTAAAAAGAAAATGTATTAAGAATAATGGGCATCAGGTTCCTCGGTGTCACTAAAGGGAGTTACAAATATTAGCACAGACCTGTAGTACTAGCAGTATGGTAAAAGTGAGTTTCAGCATCTACAGATGTAGACAAGCAGGCAGAGAGCAGAGAAACGGCTATGTATATATATGTGTGTGTATAAAATCTCTGTATAAACACACACACCTATACATACACTTCGGGGGTGTGAGCATAGAGAGGAACTGAGAATGGTGACATCTACCTAAGAGTGGACATGAGGCACCAGCAGATGGCATGATGGTTACATCGGTGGACTCCCACATGACCTACCGTGGTTCGATCCCAGAGGCTTGGAACTCACACTGGCACATGTGTGTGCATGCCCAAAATCCCCAGAGGAGAAGGGACTGCAGTGTGGCCACTCCCTGGGGCGGGGTGTGTTTTTTTCACTTTCTCTCTCTCTCTCTCTCTCTCTGGCAAGTGCATACACTCTATAGCAAATCTCTATCCTTAAAAA